GAAAGAAAGAAAGAAAGAAAGAAAGAAAGAAAGAAAGAAAGAAAGAAGGAAAGAAGGAAAGAAGGAAGGAAGGAAGAAAAAAGAGAGGTAGATAGAGCTAGAGATAGATAAATAGATAGATAGAACATTATATATATATATACATATATATATGTCTGTATGAAAATTTAATATTTTCAGAGGCTCTGGCAATCTGAAGCATTAAAACAATCCCAGCCGAGCAGATGACCCTCAAAAGAGAGCTCATGGCCCGCTCTTTCTTTTCTTTAGAGTGGTTCAGGAAAGCCCTTCTTTGTGAGTGTGAGTGTGTGTGTGTGTGTGTGTGTGTGTGTGTGTGTGTGTGTGTTTGAGCGCCAGCATACATATGTGCAAATGTATCTATGCATATATGCATTCATGAATGCCTGCATCTATATGTATAAGGTATATGTATGAGAAATCTGATATCACCTATGTGAGGAACTCCCAGTTAGGAAATTTCCTTCACCAATTCAAACTTCAAACTCTTCTGTTACTTACTTACACAGAATTACCGAGGTGCTTAGAGACATCTAGAGGTTAAGCGATTTGCCTCTTGTCACTCATGACAGAGACAAGTCTTGAACCCAGGTCTTCGTGGCTCCTAGGCCAGCCCTCTCTGGTCATTATGCCACCCTTCTTTTTACATAGTAGCTCACCAAAGAGTGGTAATGCCATTCTTCCCCAAGAATAGGTTGGCTCACCTAGTTTAAGTCTCACTGGCCTAGGGGAACCTCAAATGCCAGGCCCCTGCAACTGTCCATCACATGCAACTGCATTAAATAGGATTGTGGGTTTATGATGTGGCTCACCATTCTCAAGGGATGAATAGCCAAACCACCAAATCATGATCCTTAGTGCCAAACCAGAAAGGGTCCCTTTGGACTGGCTGGTGCAGGAACTCACTGCACCTCTCCTGTTATGTTCAATTATCATAACTGGGAATACTAAATTATGTTTCCAAAGATAGGCAGACATTAGAATGGTTCACTGGCTGAGACCCAAGGACTTTATGCATTTATGTTTGCATTAGACCCTTGTATTCATACAAAGAAACAGATGTAGAAGAAGATGATGGATAAGTTATTAAACAAACCACTGTGTTCCCTCAACCAAAACTATAGTAAAAAAAAAAAAAATTCATTTCCAACTGAGAAGGAATTTCAATAAGAGTCACAAAGTTTTCCTATGATCCTCAAGGACTCCTGTGCTCAAATGGAACTGATTCCAAAACCACATTTTCAGATTAGGTTTTTGCTCAAGTTATCATCTTTCTCACTGACGACTTCACACGGTCAGCCAACAACCATTTATTAAGTGGCTACTATGTGTCTGTCAGGAACCATGCTAAGAGCTAGGGATTCAAAGAGACTCACCAATAGTCCCTGTCCTCAAAGGAGCTCTCAATCCCATGGGAGAGATACCATGCCAACAGCTATGTATGAATGAGAAATGTATAAGATAAATTGAAGATAATCTCAGAGGGAAGGCACTAGCCTTAAGAGGGATCAGGAAAAGCTTCCTGCAGATGGTGGGATGTTAGTCAAGACTTGAAGGAAGCCAGGGAAGCCAGAAAGCAAAGGGGAGGAGATGATAGTGTTTCTAAATTGTGTAGCCTAGACTTGTAATCTGGCCTCCCCACTTACTGTGTACTTTTCAAGCTGTAGATGCCAAAATGAATGAGAAATGCCTGCGTCATGGGACAATTATATCTCTTTGAGCTTTATAATTTCTAAACAAGTCTGAAAAAAAGTTGATAGGGGTTTTCTCCTTTATAACAGGAAAGCAATTTGAATGATAAATTACTTTAAAAACATGGGAATAGGTGGGGGAGGAGAGCCCAAGGAAAAAGTCAGCACTTCTATATCTCTCCTAAAAAAGACATTTCAATAAATGGGCCAAAGACAGAGCTTTAAAAGGTCACAATCATGGGCAATTTTTGTGAGTTGAACATTTGATATTTTCAGAAGCTGTGGCAATCTGAAGCATTAAAACAATCCCAGCAGAGGAGAAGGCCTTCAAAAGAGAGCTCATGGCTCCCTCTTTCTTTTCTTTAGAGTGGTTCAGGGAAGGCCTTTCTTTGTGAGCACTTGAAGCCAGCAGGCAGACAGGCTGCCTCCAAGGTTAGAGGGAAGGGAGCCTCCTCCAGCTCTTCAAGGATGGCCCCAGGTGGACATGATTTGTAAATGGTGTTAAGCAGGGAAGGAAGTTACTTTTGGAAGCAGGGATACTTACAGTGCCATTTCAAACTGCTCAAGCCATTTTTTCTTCAAATCTTTTGTTTTGCAATAGAATTCCAGTCCATTTTGTCCTTGTGTATGGATGAGGTAGAAGCCATAAGACCACTGTGGAAATGAATCATTAATTCACTGATTAATACATAGTGCTGTGTTTTCATGTTCTCTGAAATCCCACTAACATCCTTTTTTAAAAAAAAAACCCATACCTGGCCACAAGTACCCACTACGAGCATCTGACTTAGCCATCTGCAGTGGTGGCAGCAACATCACATTTGATCATAACACACAGAATTAAAAATAAAGCTCTCTATACACCTGGAATAGGTATACAGCACAAATTTGTGCACTAGCACAAATATCATCTCATTTGAGCTTTACAATAACTGTGAGAGGTAGATATTATTATAATATCGATTTTTACAGTTGAGGAAATCAAAGCAAATAGAGGTTAAGTGATTTACCCAGAGTCACATAGGTAGTAAATGTTTAAGGTCAGATTTGAATTCAGATCTTCCTGACTCCAGGCCCAGTGCTCTATTCACTATGCTACCTAGATGCCTTGGTGACTTTAGAGTCAGGAAGATCTAGGTTTAAATCCCAGTTCTGACACTCGATGCCTGTATTGCCTTGGACAAGTCTTCTCACTTCTCTGGGCCTCAGTTTACTCATCTGTAAAATGGAAGAGTCAGGTTAGATGGCCACTGAGGTTCTTTCTAGTTTTAAATGTACGATACTGTGATGCTCAGTTCCTATAATCTTACTGACTGCCTGGCTCTGCTGCTTACTACCTGCGCGGCCTTGAACAAGTGACTTCAACTCTGTTGGCCTCAATTTGCTCATCTACAAAATGAGGAGGCTGGAATGGATGCTCTCCAAGGTTCCATGCAGCTTTAGGTCCATGACCCTGTGTTGAATGCTTTAAGGCTCATAAAACGCTTTAGACACATTATCTCATTCAATCCTCCCAGCAACCTAGTGAGGCAGGCACTATTATCATTTCCATTTTGCTATTGAAGAACCTAAGGCTAGGAGTCCTTCAACGACCCAGCCCCATGTCACCCAGCCAGCAAGTATCAGAAACTGGTTTTGAACCCAGATCTCCTTGACTCCAAGTCCATGACTCTATACTTAATGACTGGGTGATCCTGGGCAAGGCTTTGATCCCCTTTGTGCCTCAGTTTGTCAGCTAGAAAATGAGAGCATTGGGCTCGATGGCCTCTAAAGGCCCCTCCTAATTCTAAATTTATGATGCTCTGATTCACCACCTCTAGCTGCCTCAATTCTACACCAACATATGCATCCAAATTGTTTTCAGAGAGATCCTCGTTAACTCTTAAGGTCCCTGAACTAATGTGATCACCCAGGCTGTGGCTGTGTGGTTGTTTCAGTCAGAGCTGTGACCTCTCTTTATTCACACTCAAGAATATGTATTGTCATCAGTTAAAATCAATAGTTTATACTGAAACCCCATCTACTTTGACAGCATCCAGCCACATCACAAGGATGTCACAAGGTCTCAGAAGTTTGCATCTTCAACTTGTACGGGTCGGTTAAAAAGTTCCCCGTTGATAACATTTGTCAGCATCTAAGATGACAGCACCTTTTTGTTTTCTTTGTCAGTTGTAGGATTATTGGCAATTTTGTATTGCTGAAGATCTATTATTTCCTTCATCTCATAGTTATCACCTTTCCTTTTGCACACAATGACCGCCAAGTCAAACAAGAATATGTGCCTGTGAAAAACAAAACAAAAGTAAAATGACAAGAGATCACATGGAAGCAGGTGGGCTGTTCTCCAAACAAGACTTCCCCATCAAGCTTGTTTTCCCTAGTGTCCAAAGATCATTGTAAAAGGGGACTACAAAATGCAATATTAAGTTATTAATAAACACTTCATGGACCACTTGGAGTACTTCTAAGAGAGGTACCTTGGCCCTTAAATATTCATGGGAATGGTATGTCTCCATTTCCATGCATCACATTGAAAACTTACTTCCTCCCTAATGAAGTCTAAGTTAGACTCAAGCAACAAAAAACAGACCACTAAGATGAAAGGTTGACTATCCTTAGAATACTGCTGAACTGGTTACTAAATAGAATATTATGAGACCATCTTTCCTTCATTTTTCTCTCCACCTTACCCTGCAAGAGGAATTTTTCAAGGTTTTCATCTTTTATTTTCTTTTACTCAATCCTTAGATACTCATTAATTCTTATTAAGACACATATGACTCCATTTCTCTCACCTTTCTTGTTTGGTATGTTTGTCTAGGGTTGTTATCCTGATTTCTCCATCTCCCTGAGGTCTTCCAAACACCAAGACAGGCTGATTCTAAAAACATAAAAGGTGGAGTTTCACTCTTACATAGACACATGCAAACAGGAATGAGACTTGAGGGGGAAAAAATTCCTCCCCACCCTCCCCGGGACTAACTGGTTTATCATATAGGCACTGAAATAATTTTACATTTTTTATAGCATTGGGTCCAGAGAACCTGAGATCAAGCAATACATTTGAAAATGAATTTGCCTTTTTTGATGTTGGGGTATCCATTGAGAGACTGGGGCAAAGTAGAGCTTTTAGTGGGAAAATCAGATCTCTCTCCAGGTCAAAAAGGGGATTAGATCAGAAGAAGTTAAGTTACACAAGATCTAAAATGTAAGCTTATTTCCTTTTGAAAAGGTGGAGTTTTTGAAGCTGACCTGATTAATGATTAAAAATCATGAGAGCTGGTTCCCCAAAGCAAATGTCAATCAAACAGAGCAATTGAAGAAAATGGACAATAGTGAAGGAACACTGGGAAATGCATTGCTATAAAGGCAGTTCCAGAAAACTGACCCATTCCCATCTTTTTGAAGGTTAAAAAGTCACCTACCAAGTTCTCTATGGATAACTGAAACTGTTTTATTTCACGGAGGGTCTCATTATCTCTCTTCACCTCGTTTACATATTGTGCCAAGTCCTAAAGAATACAAGGAAAGGTTTAAAAAGAGCACTGACTCTGGTAAATGGGAGAAATGATGCATTTTTTAAAAAATTCAATGATTCTGACATCATAAAGAATCAGCATAATCAGTGTTACTTTCCAATGACCACCCAAGGGCCTTGTATCCTACATATTTAAGGCATCTCACAGGGAATTTTTAGAAAGTGACATATCTATGGTACAGCTGGGGACCTACAAAGTCATCCTTTACCTCACCTCTGTACAGCCCAAGAATATCGTTGCCTTTAGAGGGGTGCTATGTAGAATAAAGGAAAGGAAAATAGGTCGGCAGGACCTGTTACAAGAGTGAAAAATTGGGTTCTACAGAATTCAACTTTTTACATAAGTAATGGGCATGGGAGAGAGTAGGGGATGAAACACACAAAGAAATTACTTAAAAGTTTGGAAAAGAAGTTGAGCTGAGCTATATTATGCAACCCCTTCTTTCTCCTAGTTAACCAACAGGGAGTACCCAGTTAAGAAACAAAATTTAATTCTGCAGATCTAAAAAAAGGAGAGAGGTCAGAAACTAAAAGGCATTCACGTGGATAAAGATGAACCCCAAAAGCCTACCTACCATGATTCTCCATGTGCCTTAACCTATTTAAAAATGTCTTTTCTTATTTTGGAGAAAACAATATTAGCTAATCTGTCTGTACTGTTCCTAGCTATTTTTATTATATCTGCTCTAGATTTTCTTGTGTTCTGAGTTCGTCTCTTGCCTCTTTATATCTTAAATTCATCTGGAACAGCAGCGGATGTCTGGCAGAAAACAATTCTGAGCTTTGTTTAGAATGACTGAATTTCCATATTGAAAACAACGTGTTTATAAACAGGAAATCTGTATATCCTAAAGGTTAACAAACAGATGTGTCTTTTATAGCCCTCCCACCAACGGTGATATTAAAAAGAACAGTGGGAACTAGGACTGAATCCCATAAGGAAAGACAGAAAGAAACTTGGGCCTGATGTTATAACAAAAGTCACATTTCATGTGTGAATTGTAACTGACATTGGTACTCACTGTCTTTTGCTTGCATACAATTAAGATCCCCAACGACATTTTCATGGAGCATAATTGGAAACTAATTTTTGGTATTCTTGCTTAGCTCTCATATAAACTTAGACTTCAGTTGTGTTTAAGAAAAGTAGAAAGAAAGAAAGCTGTTCTTAGAAATGAAATTTCATTTCAATTGTTTTTCCAACACATCTAATTCATATTGTTGGATTTTGAGTTTACTTAAAATTTTTAATTACCATAATTCTAATGCATATATATGTATACATATATATACATATTTAACATAGCATATTTGCTTGTTGAGAAAGGCATGACTCACCCATCAATTTGTCTAAAAAGGGAAAATTAGAGTCTTAGATGACCATAAGTTCAATATGAATCAACAGTGTGTTGTGACAGCCAAGAAAATTAGTTCAAACTTAGGCTATGATAAGAGGAAAGTTTCAAGGAATAAAGAGCTGATGATTCCACTGTACTTTACCACATCCTACAAGTAAGGTATTTTGCTCAGTTCTGGGCACCATATTTTAGTAAGGACAATATGAACCAGGCTTTGAGTTTATACCATTGAGAATCAATTGAAGCAAATGAAGATGATTAGACTGAAGAAAAAGAGCAACTAGGTGGCTCAGTGGATAGAGCACTGGACTTGGAATCAGGAAGTCTCATCTTCATAAATTGAAATCCAGCCTCAGATATTTACTAGCTATGTGACCCTGGGCAAGTCACTTAACTCTGTTTGCCTCAGTTTCCTCATCTGTAAAATGAGCTAGAGAAGGAAATGGAAAGCTGCTCCAGAATCCTTGCTGAGAAGAACCCCAAATGGAATCAGAAAGAGTCAGACGCAACTAAAACGACTCAACAACAACAGATGCCTTTAAGTACTTGAAAGGCTATCCCATGGAAGAGGGATTTGGCTGGTTTTGCTTAGTTCCAGAAGGTAGAATTAGAGGTAACAAGTGGGAATTGAAAGAGGTAAATTTGGGATTGACATACAGGAATGATGAACAATTCAAGCCACCCCAGAGCAGAATGGGCTGCCCCCAGACAGCATCTGAACATGTCATAGAAGGGCTTCAAACAAAGGTTGGATGGCTTCTTGTGTTGTATGTATCAGGAATGAGTTGAAGCAGATGGTCACTTCCAACTTGGAAATTCTCTAATTCTGCAATGTAAATTCTGCTAAAACTTGCAATATAAATCAAATTATTTTTATTAGTATCACTGTTATTTCCTCTCAAGTGTTTAAGTATAATCAAAGTAACTTCCAGATTAAATAATCTGTTCTACATTATTTGGACATGTCTCTGAGCTTTCTACAGAGAATCATTTCTGATGGAAGTTATTAAGAAGTCCCCACTGGTATTAATGTCTTTCATTAAATTACATCAATCCATCTAAAAGTTTTTAAATCTACTACAAATACCTAAGCCATCAATCAATGCAAAGGGGAAAGAAGGTCATTTTGAGACAGCAACATTTGAGGTATATTGGAAAGATCTCTATATTTAGGGACAAGTCTTCACTTCCTGGAAGTGCTACTTGCTACTTATGAATTGTGTGACCTTGGGTGAATAGCTTGACCTCTCTGGGCCTCAGTGGCCTCATCTGTAAAATGATGATGTTTGACTAAATGACTTTTAAGGTTTAGTTTTGCTTAAAGTTTACAATCCCATATCGTGGGATGAAAGCAAGGATCTGACGCCCTTTACTTACCTTCATTGCATCAAGGGCCTGTTTGAGGTTTGCCTTCTCAGTGGGATCAGTCGTGTGTTTCACCAGCTCCTGTTATATAGAAGACATTGCTATTTTTTAAAACAACCCTTGAAACAAATGATGGCAGTGTATGTACAAAAAGCCCTTTAAAAGCAAAACCCACTCTACAAATACATAGATACATGATCACTCTTGTAGAGAGAGCTAAGTGGTACAGTGCCTAGAGCATTCAGCTTGTAGTCAAGACCTAAATTTGAATGCTACCGCAATCACAAGCTGTATGACCTCTCAGTCTCAGTTTCTTCAGTGGTAAAATGGGGATAATAATAGCACCTATCTCCCAGGATTGCTATAAAGATCAAATGAGACAACCTAAGTAAAGCACTTTGCAAACCTTAAAGCACTATATAAACATTATTATTATTATTATTGTAAACATCATGAATAAGTCTTATAGAAGCAGAAAAAGAAGTGGACACTGACCAAAAGAAATATTTTGTAATAGGAAAACCCACTAGCCTAAAAAGGCGTGATGATTCTCGAAACAATATATATTTTTCCTTTTGGAAGTAAGAAGTCATTTTCTACAATATGAAAAAAAGGCCATAGCATTCCTTCCCTGGACTGCCAACTTGTAAGTATCCTGACCTACTGGGATTTCATTTTATTATCACTATTTCCTTTCCTTTGGCAAGTTAAAATGGTCATTTTTTAAAAATGTAATGAACCATATATAGAATCCAACGACATGAAAGCATTTCCTGCAACATATTTCAATGCTAGTGAAATGGATTTTCTTGACCATTCTTTTTAATAGAAAAATCAAGAAGAAATTCTGAGAATTTCAAAAATATATATTAGAGATAAAAATATATACAAATATGTTACACAAAAAAAGTTAAGTTAAAAAAACTTTTTAAAAAGGCTGAAGTATTGCTTACTTTATAAAAAAAAAAACATACCTTCCCTATACTTAAGTAGGGATTTGATAACTCCAAAGTTATAAAAGAACCTCTCGGTTTGTTCCTCTGGATGTGTTTTTAGTTCTCTGATGCCTTGGCCACTGATTGACTGCGTATTCCTAATCATTTTTTCATAAACCACAATCTGATTATGTTGCCTTCAGTTTGGGGCTCATAAATGTTTTAATGCACTTTTAAGAAATAATCAAGGCTTGGATTTTTTCTGATTTCTCAGTAGAACAAAATACAGATGACTAATATTTTTATGGACATACTTCAAGAAATTTAATATACAAGACGTACAAAGCAAAGCAGAGTCAAAAATTATATTTCCCGTACAGGTGGTAGATCTTTTTAAGATGACATTTCACAACCATCAACAAGGCTGACAGCCTAATACAGTAAGGCATTTCTTTGGAGCAGAACTAATGAGTCTCCTGGCACAGCTATCAAATTAAATTTATAAGACTCTCCACCCTCATTACAGGGCTAACTGTGGAAACCAAGAGCTTGTGGGTTATAACAAGAATCATCTTAAAATAAATAGGTCTTATTGTAATTTAGTATAGCAGAAAGCAATTCAGAAGATGGTAGAGTCCAGTTGAGTTTATCCTGATGAAGTAAAGAGACTAATGTTGTTATTTCATAAAACTCCTAGTTCACCAGACCTTTTTTAAAGCTACAAATAAAATCTTAGGTGTGGATTGAGGTGCAGAGAGGGATGCTTGACAATCCCATTCAGTTGCTGACAGGTAGAGAATTGCCACGAGTAGAATGAGAATTTGTCAAATTCCACTCCATCCAAGATGCATTTACTAAGCCCCTACTATGTGTGAGGAACTGAGAAAACAAAGACAATATGAAAATAACCCTTACTCTCAAGGAACTTACATTCTATTGAGAGTGGGGACGGGAGAGAACATGTAATTGGATAAGTGTCTATATGCATTGGGGAGGGGGAGTCTGGTTAGATCGGAAGAATCTCTTAAAAAATTGAGGAATTTCTTAAGCAACCTGGTAAAATTGTAGGGTTTGGGAACCATTATTAGCTCCTGACCAGGTTGCTTAGATTTGGACTACCTAGAAACAGGTTAGTTTTACCATAGGGATAAGGTGTTGTTACCATGGTAATACAGATTATTGTGAAAGGTTTGGGGATGTGAATAAATGATTTGCTACCCATTCCAAGCTTGTAACCCCTTTCTGAAAGTCTCATACATCTTTGGGGCTCATCCAGATCTATTCAGTTCCTTTTTGAGCTAGTCTGCTTGACCTAGTATGGGTGAGTTCAGACCTACATTTGGAAGGTATTCTGTTTTACATGGATCCTCTGAAGAGATTTGAAGGTGATCTGTGTCCTGTAGACTAGATAAACTTTTGTCCAGATCTCTATCTAGAATGCTCTATGCCTGAGCAGGGATGGATATGCTAGAGAAATTTATGGGTTATTCCTGTGTGCTGAAGGGACCCATAGTAGGAATTTTCATCTAGGATAGTTGTTTTTCTCATTGGAGAGTAAGAGGGTAATATGCAATCAACCCCAGATCCTGTCCCTTTTAGAAGAGACCAACAAGTATTGGGAGTTCATCTGGCACCAGGTTTCAACTCTAAGGATGAAAGGATGCAGGGATTTTTTTTTCCATTCCTTTTCACTATTTGTTTTCTTACTTTTAGTTGTTTGCTTTTATTTTTACCTTTGTTTTTCTTTCCTAATTGTCTTTGGGTTTTTACACCTATCAAAGAAACAGCAAGTCCTATAGAATTGAGAGCCCCCCAGAATAAATAGGCAGACTTTGTTCATAGGACACAAGGGGGTATTGTTGATCCTGAAGGAGCCAAGCACTAGGCCTTCCATATTTGCCTTCTGCCACTGGGAAATGCCCTGTAACCTCATCAGTTTGATTGAGGAATGCCTTCAATTTGCTCAGGAACTGCCAATAATCTACACCCTATAATTTTATGGGGTGACTTAGGAATCTCCTCAATTTGATCAGTGATTCACATAATCTACCTCTCCCCCCTTCCACATGATATTTTGAGGAGAATATTAATAGCTAATAGAGGGATTAAGGAAGGCTTCCCATAGGAGGTAAAACCAAAACCAAAAGGAAGCCAAGGATTCTAAGAAGTATAGGTAAGGAAGCATTTTACAGAAATGGGAATTAATGACTAATGGCTCTTTTCAGTAGAGCAATTTCTCTTTTTTAAGTAATATAGTCTCTCATCAGGATCAGGGCTTCAGGGAAATGTGAGTTTTCCCAGCTTGAAGGAGAAGTTGGAGGACTTTGGAAAGCCAGACTGGGAAGCCAGAAATGAGAGTTTCCAGTGAGAAGTGTGGACATGGGATACAGTAGGGGCAGTCAATGGCAAATGAAAGACTGAACTATTCTGGAATGATTATAATTAGGAGCAGCTGGATCCTTGCCTATCTTGTCAATCAATTTAGGTTGTCATCTTCTTAGACACAACTTGATGTTTACCTTGAAAAATGTGTTTGCCTCCTAGCCCTGTTGGGATCTGGTGAGTTTATCCACTCTCCTTTTCACCACCACTCTCCCTTACCTCCTCTATCCAATTATTACCTGTTAAACTGTTTGTGTTCTTTGAAGCCTTGTTTCTTGCTGTTTGTACTTTAATGATAGTTTTCATCCACACAAAGATAACCTAATTTGTATTGTCTTTTGAGCAATGTTTGATCTGGAGGGTGTGAGGGAAAAGGGCAAATGAAGTTACGTGGGAGTTTGTTAACTATATACTACATAGTTTGATGGTTAGAGAAAACATTTTTCCCTAGTTTGGGGCCCTGGGCTTATTAAATTCCTTTAATAATCAGCTTTACAGAGTTCCCCAAAATAGCAAGGGCAAAGGATAATGTGAACCCAAGAGATAAAATGCCCTGCTGACTTTATAGAAAAACAACAACAACAACAACAACAATAAACCAAAGTGTATATTAAGCTCTCTAGCAACACCCAATTTCTTCAAAGAAATGGGAGCAGAGAGGGGAATCACTTCAAATTACATACCTGGAGCAGGAGATGGTACTTCAGAACCCTCTGCATAGGAACAACAAGTAAATCTCGCAGAGTGAATTTCCCATTGTTTGCCCTCTTGGAACATTCCTAATGAAAGATTTGCTCATTAATAATGTACCTCTTTATGAAGGCACAATGTTAACATTCAAATGGGGGGGAGGAAGGTGTTCTTTAAATAATTAGCAATCGATTTTGTATTCTAAACACAGTGAGTACCTTTGTTATGTAACATGTTCTTCTCAAGCCAGCAATAGTTGGTATTATCCTGAGGTAGAATGGAAAACGGGATGGGAGAAAAAAATGTGGAAGATTCTCTCTCGAAAAAACAGGAAGAATAGCAATGACTTTGCTAAAGGTAGCTCATCAGGATAATAGATCATGCCTCAGATAAAAACAACATGGAGTACGTTTGGGCGGGGACAAAATATAAGGACTTTTCTTCATTTGCGTAGGAAAAAGAAAAGATTAAAAAAAGATAGGGGATAGCAAATAGACACAAGAAGTAAGGCAACTCTAAAGTAATGCATTTTGAAAAAGTAAAATGAGAATGCCTTTTAAACTGTCTGTTTCTTGTCTTAAAATGAGCCTTTGTTGAATAGAGGGCTAGGAGCCCCAGGTCTTTCAGGCGCTATTAGAGGGGAAGTCCCAAAAAACAAATGAATTTTGATGAAGTAGGTTGCTATCTAATCAAAGACTGGACATCTAGGATGCAGGCCCAAGCATACTGGGCTTTTCAATAGAGAACAAAAACCCAGAACATCTGGAGCTTTCCAGGCCGACCTACAGAAGCACAGAATCTCAGAATTGGAAGGGACCTCCAAGGTCATTTAGCACAACGTGTACCTAATCAAGAATTGTCTCTAAATTTTTTCCAGTAGAATATAAATTCCTTGAAGACAGGAACTTTTTTTTTTTGGTATATGTATTCCCCGTGCTTAGAAACATGCTTTGCCCATGGTAGAACCCTAATAAAATTCAGTGATTCAATCAGCAAGCATTTATCAAGTACCTGCTATGTCCTAGGCACTGTGCTACCTGTTCACAATACAAAGACAAAAATGAGACAGTCCCTGCCTTCAAGGAGATTACATTTAGGGGAAACCAACATTTACAAATATCATAGATACAAAATCCATACAAAGTAAATGCAAGGTAAGTACAAAGTAATTTGAATTGAAGATCCATGATCCAGCAGCCATCCAGTTTGCAAAAAACAAACAAACAAACAAACAAAACCAACTCCCTCTTTCCTGAAGCACTCCATTACATATTATTTTTGGCCATCACTACTGATTAGGAAAATTTCCCTCATATTATATCAACCTAAAACGTGCCTCTTGGTAATTTTACCTGGTGCTCCCAGATCTGTTGTTTGGAGCCAAATAGAAAGTCTAATTTTTTTTACCATGTGGCAATTTTTCTTAAAATATGTGAAAAGAACTACAATAATCCCGCTCAGCTTACTTTCCTTCAAATTTAATACTCTCAATCCCTTCCATTGACCCTCATTTCCTTAGCACAGTCCCTAATACTCTAAATATCTGGACCACTCCCTCAGGGCCAAAGCAGCATGAGGATTTGTTTCCTTTGGTCTTAGACCTCGAAGGAAGGCAGGGTCAAGAAAATTGAACTAGATTCTTTTGAATTCAACAAAGAGGTTCAGAGAAAATATCTGTCTTATCTTTCTTTCTGGTTCTGCTTCTGATGCTCCAGACTCATCCATCATGCCTCAGCTGCCTTCTCCTGCTGAAATTTCCTTATCCCATCTGGCCTTCTCACTTGGGGCCATTCATCTGCCACTATGGCCCCCTTCTCCCATTAGTAAGTTCTCCTGGAGACTTCATTTTGAGAAACGGCCCAGGCAAGCCATCCTTTTTCATTGTTCTCCCATCTCCCACCCTTTTCAGCTCCCTTTTATCTGTCATCTTCCCCCATTAGAATGTAAGCTCCTTTTGGGCAGGGTCTCCCTTTTTTCATGCATTTGTATCTCTCATGCTTTACACAATGGATCATACTAAGTTTTAAATAAATGGTTGTTGACTTAACTCTGCCAGGCTGTGAGGGATAAAAAGAAGCAGCAGCCATAGTCCCCTCCCCCATGAAACTCCCAGTCCAGTAAGGGAGAAATGACAAGCACACAAGGAGCTATAATATAGTATGAAAGAATAATATGAGAAGTGCAAAATGTAGAGGGAGAAAAATTTCAGGTAGTATCATAATGGGAGTACAAGAAATGTTTAGGTGTAAACACTTCCACTTTTAGGACAGTTCTTTATGTCCCTTTCCTTTTTTTTTGTTCTTCTCCTACCCCATATAAATTGTTTTAAGTGATATTTCTTGGAGTTCTCCTTATCTATTAAAATGAATTAATTCTTCCAGCAAGACATGATTCTGGAACTTCTCATACCCTCTGTCTGACCTCTCCAATGTACTTACTCATATCCTAATAATAAAAAAAATTAGCTCATATTACTACAGTGTTCAAGGATTTACAAAGCATTTTATATACCTTTTCTTATTTGATCCTCACATATTCTTATAAGGTGCATACAAATAAAGACTATGCCCTCAGGAGCTAAGCCATCCAGTTTGGTGCTTTCTGGGATAGTGCATCCCCTTCTTCAACCAAGCTGGCTTCTAAGTTACAACAAAATGCCCTATTATTTTCCAGCTCTTGCTCTCAGAACTGAATCCAATCAAAACTATTATTGCCTCTGGAAAGTTCTTGCCTATCTTATTGTACTCTTTATCTCTGTGACTTCTCAAACAAAACACCTGTCCCTGGATACTACTCCTCATTAGAATATATTCTCCATGAGGGTAGGAAATTCTTCATTATTGTGTTGGCACAGAGTAAGCACTTAAATGGGGCAGCTAGGTGGCACAGAGAATAGACTGTCTGACCTGGAGTCAGGAAGACTAATCTTCCCCAGTTCAAATCTAGCCTCAGACACTTACTAGCTGTGTGACCCTGGGCAAGTCACTTAACCCTGTTTGCCTCAGTTTCCTCATCTATAGAATGAGCTGGAGAAGGAAATGCCAAACTAATCTAATATCTTTGCCAAGGAAACCCTAAATTGGGTCATGAAGAACCGGACATGACTGAAAAATGACTGAGTAACAAGCAAAAGCACTTAAATACTTTTTCCATTTATTCCTTTATTATTAACCCTATTTTGCTGATAAAACCAACACACATAGAAGTTAAATATTTACTACGATCATATAGTTAGTGTCAGATGTATGATTCATACCCAGATCCTTTTTGGTGCTAAGTCTAATGCATTTTCTACCATACCACACTGTATTTCTCTAGTACTAAACTCAATCCCAGCCACCCAAAACACTGCACAGACCGTAAATTCTGTGAAGACAAGAGTCTGTATTGTTTCCTATTTGGGGCACGTAGCTGTTTATTGAATTGAATTATGCACATTGTACTCTTTTACTTTGTCAATGAAAAGTTGAATTTGTTTCCAAAGGAGGTTCCTGAAGCTTTAGATCCTGCTCACCTGAGGAGAAGCTAACTGTTAAAAGTGACACCCCCCTCTCCTGAATTTTTAGAGCACTTTGAGCCTCCCTTCACACTCCATTGTGTATTAAATTGCTGTGCTCTGGATCTCCCCAACTAGATTGTGATCTTCCTGAGGCCAAGAAGTGCATCTTATTCCTCTTTTTATCCTCCACAGAGCCTAGCACCTGAAGCACCTTGCAACACATTTAGCACTCGATTAACTCTTGCCGGATGAATCAATGAATATAGTTTTGGCTACCAAGGATGTTGGAGTGCCATCTCATGGCCACTTGAGCAAACTGCGGGCTGCCTGATTCAAGCAACCCTCGGAAGGAAAGGGGAAAAAAGAAGAAAAGAAAAGAAAGAAATATGAGCACATCCTGCTAACTACCTTCTATACTATGACAGACGACACTTCATGAACACTTAATATAGACCTGTTGTTTGACTGATTTCTAAGGAGTTTCAGAGACAAGGAATAAGTGTGAAGGTGATATGTGTTGCAGAAAAACCTGCCATGGGTCCCTACAAGTTTATCTCTGTCAATGGCCCTGGGAAAGCCTCTTAGAGTAGCTAGGATAAAAATGAGGAAATTTCAGGTGTGTGTTGGAGCCAGCTTGAGCATTCCAGTCGATTGTTAAATTTTCAGTGCCACCATTTACACCTTTGAATTCACCAAACTCTATAAATTAGGGTTTGAGTTGTAGTTTTGTTGATTATCTAGCCCAGAGGTATCAACTACCAAGTAACCAGATTAAAATATAATTGGGGAACATTTAACAAAATTAATAAAAATCCAATAAAACATTGAAAACATTACATATTGTAACCAAGTCAATATAAGGCCCACAGGGAACTTATATATGGTTTAGTGGTCTCCTTTTCAATTTGAGTTTGATACCACTGTTCTAGACATAAGAAAGTAATTGAGAAAAACGTTAATTCCGACTAAACTTAAAAGTGTGTCCCATGCAATAAGAAAAAAAAATCTTTTTTCTGTTGAGCTAGTTGTTAAACATTTATCAGCACATTCCTGGGAAACTTGGTCAGGAACAATGGTCACTGGCTGAACTAGATGAAGCTGAGGGTATTCCCATGAGAAATCAAAATACTGCCCCAGGTCCCTAGTTTCCTATAAGATTCTCTTGTGTTAATTCTTATGGCCTTGCTTTGGGAGGGCCTTGAACTGAGTCCAGCCAGGGTCATCATGATGGATGATTGAACCTTCTTTCACAGGAAGAGTAAAGGCTTAGAAAAGGTAGCGCTGAGGAAGGCAGTATAAAAGGGGAATTCAGATATTGAGAATAGAGAAGTAGTAGAATGCGACTAGCCAATACCAGGAGCCAGAAGAATTGGCCAAGTCAATGAAGCAAATAAATAAATAAATAAATAAATAGCAAGGCAGAAGGCAGTGTTGAAGACCAAAGCATAGCATGTGCCAAAAAAGGGAATGGCAAGAGGCAAGGTGGGCTTTAAGGTTGGGAGAGATTGGAAATGGGTGATAGGCAAATGTGGCCTTCTAGGTCCCTAGGGTGGCTTTTTGACCAAGTCCAGGTTTTACAGAACAAATCCT